TTTTTTTTTTTGCTTTTTTTACTGTTAACAAATATTCTGCTATTGAAACATTATTGACAACTGTTTTAAGCCATATTTTGTTGTTGGAAATTTAGTTACAATACCAAAACATTCAACAATTATTAGGCAAAAAGAACATAGACAACTTAAAACCGAAAAGAAGAGTAAATTTGGAAATTGGGATAACAATTTTGCAGTTATATTTGTTGTTTCAGCTTTACCAAAAAAATTTGATTGAACATTAAATCAATTTTGTATGTATGTTTTTTGTTTTCACTTTTTCTGGTATAAAATGATCATTTTGGCTGTTCAAATAATGGGCAAAAAAAAACCACTTTTTTAACACTCAATTTTTGTAGGGATCAAATTTGTAGGCAAAAAATTCGGTAAATTGAATAGCTTTTTACCAGCATAGATTTGGATACAAATATCCATTTTTTTGACGACAACAACAAATCATATGATTGACTGTTCAATTTGCTGTTATGTTTTTTGCTGTTATGTTAAACTGCTGTTATGTTTTTTTTTTTTTTATAGCATTACTCATTACAACATTACTTACAGTTTGAGAAAGTTTGAGAAAAATTGAACAGAAAAAGTTTATAAAATTTTTTTTTTTTTTTGTTTACCTCAACTAATTTATCGGTAATACTCCAACTAATTGAAATTTTTTCATTTGTAACCATATTGGTTTTGATCAGACGAAATCTTGGTTCGGCACATCCACCTGTTGTCAAACAGTTCAATTTCCAATTAATTTCAACTAAACGGGCTTCCAGCCAAAATTCGTTACTATCATCGGTATTCAGTTGTGAGCATACCAATCTGAGGTGTATCAATGTTATGATATACCAACGCATTCCTGAAAACAACAACAACACATCTGTAGACTGTCTAATTCAACTTCAACACAAAAATGTATAACGTTTTAAAATAGAAGAAAAAAAAACAGTAATAATAGTAATAAAAAAGAAAAAAAAATTTGTACACATTAAAATTCAGTTAGAATTTGTATAATTCTTTTATCGAAAAAAGAAAAAAAAGAAAACATTGTTCATAAAACAGATAAAAATTTTCCACTGTTTGTTGCTGTTATACTATATGGAATACCTATACTGTTTTACTGGGCAAACAACAGATAGCTGATAATCAACTGCTAAACACATTGAGCAGTTTGAAGAAAATATGAAAAAGCTATAATTCTTAAAAAAAAAAAATAAGCGAATAAAAGTAAAACAAAAAAGCACACAAAAAAAAAAAAGAATAATTTTTTTTCTGGAAAGAAAAGCTAACTTTTTTTTTTTCGTGTACAAAATCAATGAAAGTTTTTAGAAAAAACAGAAGAAATTTTTTCTTGTTTGCATGTGAAAGAAAATATAAAAAAAAAAAAGTTATAATATTTGAAAATAAGACTAACACTTAAGAAAACGAACAAATTGACGTTTTGTGTGGATTTTATAAAACAACTTTTTTGCATGAATCTTTTCAACTTCTCCACTAACAGCTTATTTACTGGTAAATCTAAGCTAATAGATCTGTTACTAATTATAATCTGAAAAAAAAAAAGAGAAAGGAGAAAGAAAGTTTACCAATATGAAAAATTTCAACAAAGAATTGATATTTTGAGTATTACAACAGACAACAAGTATTACAAATCTTCAAGCAGTAAGTATCAATTTGTGCAAAATTCTGATTCTCGTGAAACACAGCAAAAAAACTGCTGAAGACAGATTGCTAAAGCAGGAAATAAATTTTTTTTTAATGACCAAAATGAGAATGCATTTTCAGTTAATTTTGAGGAAACTTTAAGGCACACTGAACATCATCAGTAAGCATTAACATACAGACGGTTTATACCACCCTTCCTTTCACCTTCATTAAGACATAAAGTTTACCTCAAAAACGATTTATTATCATTCCTCCATAGAAACATATGCAAAAAACAGAAAAAAAATAGAACTACACTTTCATTTTGAAATAGCATTACTTTGATAATTATATAATCAAACAGTTAAAAAAAGCAGATCAAAAAGAAGAAAAAAAAAAGTAAAAAAGAGAAGAAACCAAAAATGAAAATTAGAATACTGTTCAAAATTGTACAAAATTTCAATTGCACACAGTAATAATAACAATGAAAAACAAAAATGATTTTTGTTCTTTGTTGATATAACATCAATTTTTTACTTCTCATTTCTTTCATCTTCTTTTTTTTTTTTGTCGAGATTAGTATAATCAATAAATTATAATTTGTGATTAGTTAAAGTGTAAGCAAAAAAAATTTTTTTCTATATCTATCAAACGAGAAGACATAAAATAAAATTTTTTTATCTTACCTTTTACTGGGATAAAGGGAGGGCGGGGGGGTGGGGGGATGAGGGAGGGGAAAATAGAGGGAAGCGGAGGGGGGAAATAGAGGAAAGCAAAAAGGTGCAGATTGAAGATAAAGGTTTTTTTTTTCAATTGGAAATTAAACACATAAATAACTGAATGTATACATCGGTATCAAAGGCAACGGAACATAAGACTCATGGAAACACAGACAGGCACATACAAATAATATTCACCATCCT